TCTGTTTATTGTACATTTCAGACTATTGGATGTATCCCAATTGCGAAATTCCAGAATAATCGTTCGATTGCTATACCTGTTGTGCGAAATATTTGACCTCTTGAACTGTCCATTGAAACAGTCATCTTGAATTCCAAGTGAACCAAGTGACCATTACACATTCCAATGCCATTCCATCATGTTGAGTACTTTAGAACTCGATTGTGTCAATCACGCCCACCATCGCGCTCGTTGTCAACACACATTTCTTATTTCTATGATTGGCTCAATAACCTCAATCAATACATTTTTCGTGGAAATCAGAGTGACTGCATTCAACAAGGTTTACACGGGAAGCTTCTATTTCTAGTTTGGTTCACATGTGTGAAGCTTGTGAAAAGTGGTAGTTAACTTGACTACGGCAGTAGATATCTCCATTATACATCCCCGGGTTCTTAGAACAACGCGGAATTATTGGGCACTCGAGTGTAGTTTCACGCGAATTTACTCATTTTGCATGACTTTTTTCAAAAATGTCGCGGCATGCCTGATTTGACCTTCTAAGGATGTGTCGTTTGGACACCTTAAAATGAGCCGTGAGTTTGATTTTGTCACAATTGTTGAATAAATTATTGGGGTAGCGGGCTTCCACTAGGTAGCCCGGAAACGGACGGTTGTGAAAATATCCTGCAACCGGCTTCAACCGCCTTATAAGTGTAGGCAGTCGAAATGTGCAGCATCTAGTACAAAACCTGAACCTATAATCTGCCTTTGTTGGTTTCGTTAACCTTCTCAAACGAGACAACCTGTGTGTCTGATTCGGACAAACTCCTACACAAACAGAAATATGGCCTCATACATGAAACGACCAGAGGTGGCCTGGTTCAAGACTTTGTCCATGTGCTCACGAAGCAGTAGACGGTTATTGACGCAGTTCAGGTTGAGGTCATAACATTCTATCACACAAGTGTTGTAGCACCAAGTGCGGTACAAGTGTGGGAAGCCTGGTCACTGCAACAATCCATACCAATGAGACCACCACTTGTATATAATCAACCTTTGGATTACCAGTCTAATCCTGGGATGATGGCGAATAGCACAGTTAAACAGATTACCATATGAGTCGTTAGCTGTTTAGACGAGAAAATGAAGCCTTGCTTGATTGATACAGGAGCATAAGTGCCGCTGAACAAAGCTGAATCACACCATGCGCCCTAGCTTGAGAGCATTGGGTGGGTACCGACTGAAAATTGACGGATCGTGAATGCAATCAATGCACCTAGGCAACAGATTCCCGCACTTAGAGTTTTTGATCGGCTCAGATGTAGAACAGACAATATTTGGGGCAGATATTTTGGGGAGCGCAGAATCCGTGGTTGACCTAATTCGGGGACAGCTAACTGACAAATTGAGTCGCAAATCTGAAAATGGTTACCTGCCATCAGTACAGTCTGTTGTCTAGAAGCATTCCGATATCTTCAGGGGTGATGACTTTCCGTTCGAAAATTACCATTAAGCGATCAACAGGGCCTTGGATTGGTGGAAAAATATATCATGTCGAAAGCGAACAATATCACCTGGAGTGGCTTGGGAACACAAGAGATCCTCGCTGGAACCTCTCGCGCTGGGCGCTCTTTTTTCCCAAATACGACGTAACAAGATAGCGCCCGTCATCGACGGAAAATCATCGGGTTGTCTGTCAAAACCAGTGGCGGAATTTGAGGCAGATTTTCTAAACAGCGCCAAATCGTTGGTTGATTTACAGCGAGAATACCGATAACGAATTATAGAGCATTCAAGCTGGAGACTAACCTAGCACTGCCGTGAGCGAGCTGCATGTCCGAAAGATTCCGTCTTGAACCTTGCAGTCAGTACAGTCCGTGATCGAGGAATGATCCGAACCGTCGATCAGGGGTGACATTCCGTTTGATAAAGAATTTCCAGAGATCATGTAGGCCTTGGATATGTGAAGGCCACACTTGCTTCGACAAAGTGTACGACGTGATTACCGGCACATGCCGGGGAATGAGTACCACCTCGAATAATCTCTCTGGCGTCCAACGCCAGGTTTTGCTCTCTATTAGGTTCACAGCGTAAACGCATTCCATGTGTTCCCGTCAACCTTACGTTCAACACACTACTTTGAAGCGCACCGTTTTAAACATAAATTTATTTTAGTATCTTGTCATAAACAAATCCGTGTGCAAATGAAACTAGTTGTCGAAATATTATCACTCTAGTTAACTAATGTACTCACGAATATATGTACGAAAATAGCACGAGTAATATACCTTGTCGGAACACAGTCCCATTGCCAGTAGGTTTCGCCTTGGATATAAAATGGCCTGAAAAGATGTGGACCTGGAACATCTATCGTCGCTCGCGTTCCTGTGCAACTTTAATTGGACATTTATTTACGGGTTTGTGAGGTGAGAATTGTTGATTATTGCCAAACAGGATGAATATAAATCACAGTGCTTCCGGATCTTTTAGCTTAGATTGGCTTCACTGGCAGGTCAGAGGAAGGATGACTTCATTGAATTTGGGAGGTTCCTTCGGGGAAGTGGTCAACCAACATGCCAATAAAAACATGACCTCGCAGTTGAAGTATGCGTGCCGATTCGTCCTGCCTTAGTTGATCCTAATCACACTGCTCTCCAGCCACCCGAATTGACCAATGCCAAGTGAAAAAATGGGTATATAAATAGAACGATGATAATCTGCCTCGTTGCAACTACAAATGTTGATATTATAATATTGGAATGGTCTAGGGGAAACTAGGTGAGGTCCAAGACTGAATATTCAAATTAATCCCCGTATTCATCTACTTAAACACGGTTAGTAATTTGTAGAGTTTCAGTTGACATTTCGGCACCCAGCGCGTGAAACGCTCAAGCTTTTACCATACTCAGGGAAGGTCAATCCACGTTCAGAGGCAAAACTTTCTCGTATAAACTTGGAATCTCTTTCAGAAAGGTGGCCACATTTACACAATGGTCACCACCAACGCACTCGTCATCTTAGTGGCAGTAAGTACCTACTGCTCGAAGTTACACATACAACTTTAATCGGACATTCATTGCGGGTTTCGTGAGATGCGCATTGTTGAGGATTGTCAAATAAGAGGAAATTCTTCTACAGAGCTTCAGCTTAGATTTGGTTCACTGATAGGTTATCGGAAGGATAACTTTATTGAATTTCGAGGGTCACTTGCAAAGCCGAGCAAAATGTGACTACGTGGTGTGACTTCCCGTTATTTAAGTGTGAGTAAGATTTTTGTGGGTTGACCATAATCATACTGCTAATCGGCCACCGCAGATTCAACCTCCTGGTTCTGAATCTACTAAGCGGTACTTCACGGTTTTGTGCGAAACTACCCGGGGTTTCGTAGGATGCGCATGCTGATGATTCCAAGTAAGGTTCAGATGTCTTCACATGGCTTCTCAGCTGTTGGGCACTAGCGGACTGTACAACTAAGCAGATATCTTCAACAAAATTTCCAAAGTTGCCTCTTGTTATCAACAGATACGGAGCTACGTATGCTTCTGGTTGTGGGACGTGCGACCAGCTAATACTCCCCATCTGAAGAGGGTTCAACAGAATTTACATTCTAACACTGACTAAGGAATGAGCATACCCGTGATTTTGGGATATACACATGCTTTCGGCTTCCCTGGGTAAACTAATTCGCTGTCGATTGTTTCCAGCTGAAAACTATTATGCATTTATTTCATTGATGAATTTGTCAAGTTAAAGCTGAACATCATTGGATGCTTTCGATCAGAACCTGGGTTTGCTAAGCAGCTCGCATACCCTGCATGGAAAACAGAGTGACTGTGAACCGGTATCACAAAACTAACGAGTGGAATCGTAATGCAGTGCACTAAAACCTGAATAAAAATGTAACAGGCGGCTCCCTCCGACTTCGGCAATCCGTGAGCTCTTTGTAGTTGCTGCGTCGTTGCATCCAGGATTATAGCGTTGAAAATTACCGCCGATCCACTGGTCCAACATTGGGAACTCCTCTAGTCATTGATTGAACGAAGCTGTTGAGATCCTTCTGAAATATCTTCTGGACTACCAAACCTCCACGAACTCGTTATACAAATCGGAAATTCCATAATCAGCCTGTTAGATGAGGCTAGACAATGACACTGTGTTCCTTACATTAGAATCTCGCACTACGTTCTCACCGCGAATATCTTCATTTAGAAAACCAGAAGACAATTTACGAGTTACGAATATTGTTATTATTTACAAATTCACCTCAAATATGTTAGAACTGTGCAGATTTGCAACGTGTTAATTGAGATAAGGCTGGTTTGACTGGACCCTGGTTTGCAAATTTTGGGAAAATCGAATGATTCGGTCATTTTTTCATCGCCATGGTCGTCAGCATCTTCATCATCCAAGTCTGCGGGGCATCAGTGTTCGCCGCTGGGGCTCCGTTGCCGTACAACCCGTTTTAGAAAGACGATCTTTTATGAGGTGAGGACTAAACGCGAATATAAATGGATGCAGTCCTGGCCTACCACAATCATTTGAAGATGCCTAAACCTCCAGACATCAATTCAGAAACTCTGGATGGAAACTGGCAAGAAGGAAGCCAATTAGATGAATGCCATAAATGCAGTCTTCAAAGAGACTTTCTTGTTTGTTGGCTTCGAAATAATTCACCAGAAACTGCAACCATTTAGGGAGATTTTGAACATGCGAATAAATGCCCTTAATTTCTCAGTTTTTTTAGAAAACTTTCCGTCCATTGAAACTAGCGTTTCGGAGAATTTTCGGGGGTGAATTTAGAAAATGGTAATTTTTACCGCTCACTCAGATGCTGAGATGCTTAGTGACATTCATTTGATCAAATTTGTTCATGTTTTTGAAAGAAATTACAACTTTATACGAGAATGTTTTGACTGTGGACGTGGTTTCATCGTTGGGTGAATTTACTAGCTTGTGGTAGCTATCAAAACATCAGTTGATGGTCTATGGAATTGGCACATTTTATTCAAACTGCTTACATCTTAGTCGCAGAAATTCTATCAAATATATTCGCAACGACACGTTTGAGTTCGCAGAACTGGGGCGTTTTTTCCGCTTCGTTCATTTGAATCTTGTAGGGATTGTGAACCCGGCGCAGTCTTTGTTTACCATCGATCTATTTTATTACATCTGGGTATGCTTGTTCTATGCCAGTTCGATACTATCATGTTCTATCTGGACAGCTGTTCCAATTCGGAAGCACATTAGCGATTATAACCCCGTCCGTTCTAGGTTTGTTCAGTGGACCGTTAATATCGCATTTAGTTGATTTGTGCCCTCTGTTTGGACCACAATGTTCATAATACCACCGAAATACCGTGAACCCGATTCTGTACAGCTGCTTGAATGCCTGATGCGCTTACCAAAACCAGAAAAGCCAATGAACATCCCAATCAGCTAAAATGTTGAACGCTGACGCGTGCATTCGTTCATATACCGCCGAAAACGGGCTGTCTAAAAGGCGGACGTGGAACGTTCTATGCGCGGCAAAATGTGATGCCAGTGAGGAACTACCAATTAAATCAGTCTCAACGAAAACGGTTATTTCGTTGATAATTGTGAAGTTCAGTTAAGTTTGGAACTGGACTTCCGAATACCTCCTCAGCCTAGGAGTCGTTTGTTCTTCCTCATTTACTGTCACCGTGTTCTATTGAATTGTTCAGTGTTTCAGTCTCCGAGTGAACTCCGACTAAACTTCTTTCAACTGGTTCGCAAGACAAGCCCACTTTTCGGAATACACATGAACACCGTAGATTACATCACCCATTCTCCGATGAATTTTGCACTGACGCAAGTTTACGCGATTCCGAAATGTCGCATTTTGCTCCATGTTTGCGATTATATTAGCAATCCATTTTCAAAACAGATAATGCCGTGTTTTTAATTCTGGAAGCCTCACAAGATCGAATATGCGGTAAAGGTGTTTCTCTGTAGACTACTTGCATTCCGACATGGCGATATTTGAGTCAAGCGGTAAAATTATAGAAATTGTTGTAGGATGTTTGTTGTGGTGCTCTCATCTCCCGCCTTAACTAAATTTCTGTTAAAAGTGCTTATTCAGCATCTCACCGGCAAACCGCCCATAGTCGAATAGATATTCATGTTGCAGCGGACGTCAGAGATCGGCGCTGTGGATAAGTTGGGGCCATACCTGCTTGGACAAATATCTCATATCGAAACCGATCGCTAACTTCTAGATTGGTAAAGAAGGTTGCAGCCGCCTCGTTAGATGGGGGAGTATTGACAGCTGAGAGGGAACCAAGTAACTGGAAACATTCTGATCGGTTTGGTCAAGGCCAAGCTGGCATAATTTCCTGGAACAACACTGAGTATGATATTGTGCTGCCCATGACACCACACGTCATATTGACAAGTGCCACGAGATAGTACAAACAGGGTAGACCAAGAAATACGACTCACCTCGGGAGAGGGCCAAGTGGCCAAGTGGGTGAATTGATGGGTTATGTGGAGTTCTGCAATCGGTGCCAACTAATGAACGGAGATACGACAGGGGCAACCCATCCCATGGAACCGTTGACGCCGTCGTCCCCTCTCCGGTGACGGCCGGTGGACATCAACATATTGTGGCATTGACAGAAGACCTGTCGCGGTGGATCGAGGCGGCAATCGTGTCACACCAACGGGCCAGACATGGGATTGCAAAAATTATCCTGAACGATCAGAGGCCTTGCTTTGCGAGCGAACAGATCAAGTATTGGCGAGTATACACTCACCTGCAAGCAAATGTCTTTTTCGAGAGACGTACCTGGAAAGCGGCTAAATCTCTCGTTCGTGATGATTCCAAGCAACTCTATGTGCTGCACCAGGCGGCCCAATTTTTTCGGTCGCCACAATATTCGAGATATCGCGAGACATGTTCATTTGTAGGGTTGCTGAAAATTTGTGGTCAACCTACGACCGGTTTCGGAGTTCTTAGGGCTCATCAGGTGGGCGCAATCCCCGATCAAGCGATGGCAGGCGACTGGTTCCAATAGTGTTGGTGGCAGATTACGCTTCCATGCAA